AAAATTCTGACTCCATGAAATAAACATTTCGTTGATGCATATTTAAATGACTTGTAGACACAAAAGTAACATGCAAAATAAGACTGAGAAACGTGAAGTGTCAGAAGAAAGAAGAAACTGAAGTCGTGTTCAGTTGAGTCTGGTTCAGTATTGGAAGGAGATGTAGGCGCAAAATTTGTTAACTTTTGCTTCACAATGCAAACTTTTTAAAGAAGTCAAAAGGCAAGTGTAGAAGTAAAAAAAATATGCTTGTGTCGGGTGCTCACTGAATTCCCAGAATCATGCATTGCTTCATTAGCATAACGCAGCGGAGCAGCTACAGCAGTAGTAGCTAAAGAATAGCAGAGAATAGAATGAAACCGAGAAAAGTGTTAACTGTAATGTGATGATGGTAATATGCAAAATAACTCTAGTCTAGTCTCTTCATCATAATCTATCATTTTGCTTTGCAGAAGCAAAATCATTCATTGCAAAGGGTAGATGCGGATGGATGGTTGATGAGAGCATGAGAGAATTGCCTGAATTTATTCAAGCGTAAGCGTAATCATTTGGACAGTGTCAGGCAATTTTAATCATCATATTTCTCTCACTTTTTGTTACGCTACTTTTGTAAAAGGTTATCAAGGCACTATGTAGTCAAAGTAGTTCCCGAGTAATCTGATAGGAACAGCAATTTGTTTTAGTAGAAAAATTCAGCTATTCTGATAATAAACTTTAGCAGTCATTACACAAAAAACTAACCTTTCAACTATGACATTGTAAAATTAATTCTAATAGTATATACGTTTGTATGAGCGAAGAGTGGTATATGATTTAAAAGTGGCTGTAGTGTCTACGAACAAAATTTATTATTATAATTTTTCAAATAAAGTTTGAAGTCTTTAAAGGTTACTTTGAGTCAAAGGAATAGAAGGTTCGATGAGATAATTTAACGTAGTATTATCATACAAAATTCAATGGTCATCATAGAGTATAGATCCAGAGGGCATTTTGAAGAATCTTGAATGGATAGGTTAGAAAGAGCATGTTGAGGTTACGCAAAGTTGTTAGTTAGTTTCCTGCATGCAAATTCTGTTTGGTACTCCTAGTGCATAGCTCAGATGAAATTGAAAAGTCAAAGCGCTAATGTGATAATGATTGAAGTTGTACGAGGAATTAAACGGCTCTTCCTTGTGTTACAAGACTTCTCATACTTGGACATTTTGACTTCATTACACATGCCAAAGGAGGGCAGTGAATGTGATACTCGCACATGCTTGTCACTAGTCTGTGATACTTGAGAGTGCTTTAACATTTTTTACTTTCTCTTTGAAGCAAATTACACTACGGCTCTCATTCTATGCCATTATAATTCAGAGTGGGCTTAGCATGCAAAATGCATTAATTATTCAAATATTGCACTTACAATTGTACAACAGTACAGTAACCATTTCCGCCTGTATTGCTTACCATTTGTTGATAATAATAGCAGCATTTATATTTCAAAAATTGCACAGTTTTGTTACTTTAAACTAAAGTAATTACCCTTGCTAAATTAGAAATGAACAATATGTTTTCCGTTTTCTTTTTATTCTAGAAAAAAGTGCGCAGAGTGAAGGAATACAACTAACTGTAAGAAAGGGACTGCGCTCTTAAGCTGTTTTTTATAATGCTGTTCTTAATGAGAGTAGTCAAAATTAGTCTTTTTCTTGTATAAATTTTTCAAGAATGGATATTTTTGTTTTTTCGCTCTCATGACTGTTTGGTAAGTACCGTAAGCAAAATGGAAGTACACGTACCGGCAACTTTTACGTTCTTTAATACTACTCATACTGTCATCATCATTAGCATTATTAGTGTACAGTGAAGTTTGTTTATGACTGTAACTGGAATTAAGTTGTACTTTAAATGAATGTTTGGTGGTGTTACTTGACTTGATTTGTTTTGATTTGACTTGATGATAGATATATGTGATATGACGTTTATTTTTCGCTATTTTCTGCATATTGATGATCACTTGCATAGATATGAATGCAACAGCAACACTATCAGTTTCAGTAGATTGTGAAGTGCTTCAAAGTGAATTACAATAACGGCAATGATTGTTTCGAATTCATCACCAAAGAGCAAAATTACAGTGGTAGAAAACACGTTAGAATTGCAGTATGGAGAAGAAATTCGTTACATTGCACCAGCAAATGCAATTCGCAAACGAAAGAAATCTCAAACAGACTATCGTGATTGCCTCCTTCCAGCCATACGATATTTAAAAGGTAAAAACATCATTACACGTTTTGTACAACCATGCACACATTCATTTTGAGCGATTACGCTTGCGTTGGATCATTATTTTCAAGTTTAAGTTTAAACAACGTTCGGTACTACTTGTAGTCAGATCTAACTGACTAATTTATTTACATTTGCTTGCTAGCATTCAGATACATAGGAAATTAATTGCATGAATACCAAAATTAGGGCTTTTTCACAATTTTTGCACGCAAACATATTATTTTATGATAGTTAGAAGATGTGATTTTTATATTAAATGAAAAAATGTTGCATTCACTTAGGAAGAACAAATTTTTAGCACTTATTTTAGTACAAAGTTAGTGTAATTATTGTGAAGAGCGTTTTTGTGCATTTGTTAGCGTATGAGTTAATTGTATGCGTTATTGTACTCCTCTCTTACACATTAGCATTGAAAAATTGAGCGTGGAATAAAATCTACAAAAATTCAAAGCCGCACTATAAAAAATATAGTTGTGTGTTACTTTAATCAGAAAAAATTTTAATGACAAAAAGTACAATGATGAAAAGTAAGTTTTATTTGCAGAAAATGATCCACGAGAAGATTGGGAAGGAGTTTGTGAAATGTGTGATGCTCTTGATGATACTGTTCGATATCAGCTAGATGACTTAGTGAAGGGACGCAATGTCTTGGAGGTCAATACTTTCTTTGCAATTAGACTCTATTTCTATTCATTAAATTAAAGCTAACAACAAATATTAACAACTATTTGCATTATAATTTGTTCAATAATCAAAATTTAGTACATAAATCAATTATAGATCGGTCTTTGTACCGCACTTCCCACAGTCTTTGCTGTACGAAACGGAGCAAAACATGTCACTTTAATTAGTGATGTATGTAATACTTTTTTTTCTACAAGTTTTTTTCGCAATTATCTTGACAAAATAATACAAAAAAATAATTGTATTTCAAATATACATGTATATCAAAGTTTGTGTTTTTGATATAAGTCATAAAATAGTTTGGATATGCCGTAATGATAGTGGAATTTTCTATATAGAATCTTGAAATAATGGAGTCATGTGTTAAGCCAACGCTCGCCCGGAATAAAATTGATGAAGGACTATACGAAATTGTGTATAGTTCTCCGGAAGATCGTAAAAAGGTAGTCAAACAACATGGGTATGTTATAGTATATGACTAAAAACTATTTTCGCACAATACTTTTTTGTAATGTTATTTTTAAACTTTTAAATTTTTGTTTCGTAAATATTTCGTGAAGCAAATTCTTATTAATATCAATCAAGTAATGTCTGCTATTTAAGATATGAAGTCATCCTGGCAGTGGACATACTTAATAATGCAAAAAATCGTTTTGAAGAAATTCATGATATCATTGATCATGCAATGGATAATTATGGCATCTGGTAATTAATATATTCTTCAAAAAAAATCAACGGCTTTTTTGAATCAGACGCTCTTAACTGAAGATGAAAAAAGTGGCTCTAGGAAACGATTGCTCACAC